TTCTATCGAGATGCCACTTTTCAATAAAATTCTTACAGAAGCTTTGTACATTGCAGTGGGTCTGGGGGCGCATGGCAGGGATGCGATTTGCAAATGTCCAGTCTTTAGGGAAATATTTTCACATTGACAGGTCTGCATGGAACTTCCAGAAATATCAGACAGTTTTGAGAAATGCTTAAAATGTGCACTCACAGTTCATGTAGAAAACTGGCTAAGCCTGCTAGGCCTCAATATTCAGCATCGTAAGGAAAGATGACTAGTGATGTACTGTCTAGCACTATCCAAATACTGTTGTGAGCATAGAAACTCAACCCAAAAGCAGGAATGCCAAGCAGCCCTGCTGCAAGATCACAACACACCTAGATCCACACACAGACAAGCACTTGTACATCAGACAACCATCCCTGCAGTGGGGAGATCTTTGCATGTATAGCTCCATGCATCTAGGCTTTTGTGCAGTTCAAAACCCTGATCATGCACATAGCATGAACAACAGTGGTGGGGAGACTTCACACATACAGTTTTGCAAGTCCTAGAATTCAGGGAAATAAAGAGGTTTGACCTTACGCACAGAAAGAGAGCCATCTAGTGTTTTTCAAAAGTAAAAATACACATCTTGGTCCATTAGAAAGGAAGTCCAATATTCACAGCTGGACAATACCCTTTTTAGGCCAAAAAGGATGTTGCCAAACTTTGGATTTGGCGGAGGTGCATTTTTGTCTCAGAGACTAATACAGCTGCCTTTACTTTTAACCATTCGGGGGAAATCTATCACCAGAGGGAGATGATTTTATACCACCTGAAGAAGAACTTTGCATTTGGAAGGTTCTAGTCACACCAGCCAGTAGGTAATTTAGCTCCAGCTGACTCTTTATCTTAGTGCCTTACCTACAATTAATCATTGACTTTGATTATCAGGTTTCTCTTGATCTCTGCTCTCTGCTTACCCATGAAGTTGCATGTTACACCTGAGGCTGGAGACAGATCTAAGTAACAGCAGAATTTTATATTTTTAAAAAATAGGGGTCACCAACTGCATCTTAGTCACAGAAACCTAGGTATAATCAATAACCACAGCACCCAGCTCTGCTTAAGTCATTCAGTCTTCAATCTTCATGCAAATTTTATGGCCACAAAGTCTGACTCAATGTTTTTACTTCTTTGTTTTTCCCATCTTGCCTGATGAAGAGTTCTATTGAACTTGGTGACAACTTGGCCTTAATAAAGATATTGTGGACCAAGCATTCCAAAACAGCATCAAACCATGGAGTTGATACCCGATGGAGTTTCCCTTTTCTTCCTAGAAAAGAGGCAACAGGAGTGAAGGGAGAGAAAGAATCAGGACTGAAATCAAACCATGAGCATTCAGTCAAGTATTTTTCCCATCGTGGGGCTGCAATAACTATGTAACTAAGACCTACAGGGACTACATGTGAATGATCTGATTTAGAAAAAAAATAAGGAAAAGCAAAAGCTTAAGCAGGGGCTCAAAGTTAGTTATTTGTGCTACAATTTACATATAAGAACTAAGTACTGTTTTGGAAGACCAGTGTAAGCTTTTGCATCCTTCTTTCCCTCCCTTCCTCTTTCTTGGAGGTCTGGAGCTTTTCTTCCCTTTCTCCTGCCTTGCTGTGTGATCCAAGATCAGGTTTTCTGAGCTTGGAGTATATTAGTTATTGGGAATTATTCACATGGCAAGAAAAACATGTACTAAATGAAAACATGCACTCCCTGTGACAGTTTTCCCTTCTTTCAGGAGAGTACCCAGTGCTGCTACAGTGCTAGTGCTAAGGATTTGTGTCGACATAATGAGCAGCAGTGCAAAGTCTTACCTGTGGTTCGCAGGGACAGTGGATTGAACAAAACACTGGACTAGATGGACCTTTGGCCTGATCCAGCATCATTCTTATGTTCTCACCTGGAATCACAGAGAATGCATTTAAAAATTCTACTCCATCAAGGTTGAGTCATAATACCTCAAGACCCTATGTCTGTACTTAAAAAGGAAAGCTGAATTATGGAATTCCCTTCTGAGAGGAAATAGCTATGGCAAGAAATTTTGCCATTTTCAGATAAAATGATACTAGCAATTGCTGGCTGATTATGCCAAACTCTGCATCTCTCACCAGTCTGAAAAAGATCAGCCTCAGTCAGCCATCACTTCTCTCAAATAAGTAGAAAACTGAGAAGCCCTGCTCTGCATCTATCATCCATCCTCGTCCTATTGCACTTTCTGTGACTTCGGTGCCAACTGAGCTGAAGACAAAACTGTTTTAAGCTATTTTTCATTCATTGAATTCCTTCACCCTTTATTAGACTAATATCCCACCTTTCTCTTACAATGGACTTGGAGTGGCTTACATCATTCTCCTCCTCCTGCTCTCAGTCATAACCCCAGAACAACAACCCGGTGAGGTATGTTGGGCTGAGAGTCTGTGACTGCCCCAGAGTCACCCAATTGGCTCCATGGCTGAGTGGGGCCTCGATCCTGGATCACCAGAGTCCCAGCCCCATGCTGTTCACCACACTCACCCCTGCACTGATCCTTGTAAACATTGCAAGTTGTTTTTTTCCTATGGACAGTTCTATGATGTGTACCATTTTCATACAAGCCACCCCAGCAAAAAAGCCCCTAAACAAAATAGGGAGAGAGAAAACAAAACAAATCATTTCCTCCACAAAATGTCCATTCCACAAAACCCACTGTACACGTCCTTTCCGAATGATGCAGATTCCTTAATTGCATCTACAAATTCTTACAAAGAACACAAGGGAGGAAGGGTATTCTTTTTGGAAACCCCCAAACTGTAAAGGCACAAAAGCTACTCTGGGACCTATTTCTCTGAAATCCACCATGCATCACTGTGACTGCTAATGTAAAAACGCTTCTGACAGTTTTAAAAGGCCTGACTGTCAGATGATCTTAATACACTGGGTAGTATGGTTAGGGTCCATTAAGGAAGCCACAGCTGTGAGTTTACAGGAACTGAACAGGGCTGTCAAGGACTGGAGGGCATTCACTGAGAGCCCGTGTGGTGTAGTGGTTAAGAGCATGGGACTGGGACTCAGACGATCTGGGTCCTAGTCCCTGCTTGGCCATGGAGCCAACTGGGTGATTTTGGGCCAGTCACAGACTCTCAGCCCAGCCTACCTCACAGGGTTGTTGTTGTGGGGATAAGATGGAGGAGGAGAATGATGTAAGCTGTCTTGAGCCCTTTGCAGGAAAAAGGCAGGATACAAATTGAAAAATAAATAAATAAATAATTCTGAGAAGACCTGATGGCACCTAACAACAACAGTGGTTAGCACAGCATCCCATACTGCTGCTTGGCGGCATGACTATGGGGACCACCATGATGAGCACCTGCACTTGAGAATTCACTACTGCACCATTGTTCCCACCAGTGCTTAAACACTGGTCCTGCTGATAGATGTGAAAGGATGATTTGAAACAAGGGAGTAGAAAGATTTAAAAAGGTAACAAAGAAAATTACTTAGCCCAAAGGAGAGAAGGGGCTAAGATCAGATGGCACAAGGTGTGAGAAAAGGCAGGATGGCCAAATGCTGACTCAATGACTTCCTCATTGTTTATTGACGAGCTTGGCAGAACAAAACGAGCCTTCTGTAGCCCACTGGGGGCAGGGCTGGGCTGGGAAGAAGGGCCGGTGTTGGGGCAGTGCAGAGTAGGCAGGCGGAAAGATTGTAAACTCCCGGTACCCCAGCCAATTAGGGGAAAGGAAGAGGGAAGAAGCGGCTAGGAGCGGGGTTCAAAAGGGGGATGGAACATGTGCTCAGGTGAACAGGAAAATGGGAAGGAAACCATTTTTTTCCTGTTCCCTTTGTTGCAATAAAGTTTTAAAAAAACCTCTCTGCATGCTTGGAATATTTTTCTCTTCCGACGGAAAGGAAAGAATGATTATAACACTGTGAGGTCTGACACTCCTCAGTTAAAATCAGCTTGATAGAGCAGGTGGAGAGAAGTCAGACTGCTGGAGGAATTTCTCAGTTCCTGAACGAATATGCAAATTGAAATGCAATTATTCTTTGGTATTTGCAGTTCTCTAAATTTTGTGAAGCATTTTTCCAATCCAAAACTGCATACAAAAATGTGGACTATCAAACAGTGTACATAAGCATCTGTACATTAGTGAAAAAATATACATAAGTGCAATGTACTTGGGAAAATTGCTTGAAAAATTATACAGTAGAAAAAACTGTGTCCATAAAAGGAGATGTACATGAAAATGCATATGAATTTTCACGAAAATTCCAAGCTTTATGTGGAAATGGGACAAAACAAACTTAAAATCAGAAAAATGGAAAAATAGCAGTCTTGAAAGCCCTTTTGGAAGCAGAAAGTCTCCTGAATAAATAAAATATTGATGACCATGAACAGCTTAAAGCAGCCAGGTCAAGATTTTCCGAGACTTGCTTTTCCAAGCACACTCAGCTACTGCAAGGACTGTAGTAAAGTTCAGAGATAATTCTGAGGAGTGTTTACAATGTTCTTATCTGGAGTAATGAAAAGGTAGCAGCTACATTTTTCAGGTCCATTAAAGAAACTAGTGTAAAAGCTCTTTCTCTCTCTCTCTTTTGTTGTGGGGGTGGGGATTTCAACATTTTTCATTAAAAAAATAATTTGGCACTATAGGTACATAACTGTTCTTTACAACACATTTTTGCCCTATATGTAATTGTTTTATATGTATCCTGCTTTTCTAATAAAAATGGCATACAAAGTGATTTATAGTTTATACATTATACTGAGAAATAAGTGGCGTTAAATCCCACTATAGTGACCTTGTTTTTTCAGGCTTTGATCCGAAAATATACTGTGTTATGGTCACAAAAACTTGTCTTAATGTTGTACATACATACATACATACATACATATATGTTGTGCACCATATTTGCCACTAGGTGGAACAGTAAATACAGGCTTAGGGTTGCCTAAACTCCTGAAAGTAAGCATAGCCTCTGGAATAGAAACTGAAAGTTTAAAGTGGTATATACGACTTCTCAGCTAGAAAACATATCGCCAACTTCTGGGCTGTATAACGAACATATATTGGTAAGAATATATTTGTATTTCATACATAGTATGACTGATTATACCATTTGAAATGTGATCTGATAGTCTTTGAATTGTATGTACATCAGATCACATGAGTAAGCCAAATATTTTTCTTTGTGTGTGTGTGTGTGTGTGTGTGTGTTACTTTTCTATGTATATAAAACACTTAAGAAATATTTTGGTACTCACTAAAACATTTTAAATCCTTCATGGATCACTGCCTTGTCGTGGTAAAGGGGCTTGCGTAGCTCAATGAAGCTATGAGCTATGCCGTGCAGGGTCACCCAAGATGGACAGGTCATAGCAGAGAGCTCTGACAAAAGGTGATCCACTGGAGAACGAAATGGCAACCCACTCCAGTATCTTTGCCATGAAAACCCCACGGACAGCACCAAAAGGCAAAAAGATATGACACCGGAAGATGAGCCCCACAGGTCGGAAGGTGTCCAATATGCTACTGGGGAAGAGCAGAGGGCTAGTACTAGTAGCGCCAGAAAGAATGAAGCGACTGGGTCAAAGCCAGTCTGCAAACTGATGACACTAAAAGAAAAGTAAACCTAAAAGAAAACTTTCCCAATAACCTAATAAAAGGAAAGATATGTGATACTCTTTACAGCTCAAATAGAGATGATGCCAGAGAGCAGCACTGCACTTTGTAACCAGTCAGGTCCCAGTTAAAAATAATATTAAAAAAAATCCTAAAATGCAGAAGAAGCAGAGAGCCTGTGGAACACCAAGAGAGGCAAGCTGGAGACCCCAAGACTGCAGTAAAGAAAAGTAGGACAACACCAGTGTGGAAAGAAGGTGGCCAGCTGAGATCATATATACATTCTCATCATCTGGTAAGGTCTTGTAATGGTTCAAGTTTAAGAAGCTTTACTGAGTAATAAGTTGATTTCTTACTTCTGAGTAGCCATGCATAGGAATGAAGTTTTGGTGTGTTTTTACAATATTTAAGGACAGAAGCAATATAAGTAAAGCAAAATCTTTTTTTTTTATTGTAGTGTTCTCTTCAGTTGATCTGGCTTAGTACAGTCAGAGGAAATGCCCATATTTCTCAAAGAACTGATGACTGAAAATGACTTCATAGAAAATTTCAATAATACAACCCCACTCAAGAAGACATTCGTGCTATTTAGTTTAAAAAAGGAGAGCAATTCTCTTTGGAAAGTATGGGGCTATGGGTACAACAATCCTGGTAAAGAGCATGCTGAAGTTTTAGTTTTGGATGCTATCAAAGAATATATCGCAGAAAACCAAAACTGTCGAAAATATAAAGTGACATTATTTCTGTCACATAGTCCTTGCCATGAATGCAGTGCTAGGATACTATCTTTCTTGACATCAAGAAATGGAATTCAAATGGAAATAAAAGCGTCAAGACCATATTTTTTAAATAATGAAGAAGAACGGAAAGGGCTCTGGTATCTGAAGAAAGCTAGTATTCCAGTTAAAATGATGGACAGATTTGACTACCAAAAAAGTTTCAATTTATTTGTGCATCCAACGAAGAAGTTTACACCATGGCTTGGTTTGGATGAACAAAGCAAGAAGAATTTAGATGAAATGAATACAATTTGGAAACAGGTAAGAGGGGGAAAGTGTTTGCAGTAAAGTCTTTCTATGAAAATAATGAAGTAATATACACACGAAGTCACTCAGCTGTAGCAAGTGGTAGCTCCCAAATGCTTATTCTGATAGGAATTCACTAGAAGTGTGCAGCAGCCACAAGGTTCACTTCAGATCCTGATTCAAGCTGAGGCCAATTTCAAGGCTATCTGCTTTGACTGACTCTGAAACTCAGGTCAGCCAAATCTTCAGGCTTCTCAAATGAACATATCACTTTACCATTTTTCCAGTTTGTCAGATAATGAAATTTAGAGGCAGACTAGTTCCTTATGAGATTGTTGTTGTTCTTGTTGTTGTTAGTTGCGAAGTCATGTCCAACCCATTGCGACCCCATGGACAACATTCCTCCAGGCCTTCCTGTCCTCCACCTTCCCCCGGAGTCCACTTAAGCTCACACCAACTGCTTCAGTGACTCCATCTAGCCACCTCATCCTCTGCTGTCCCCTTCTTCTTTTGCCATCTATTGTTACCAGCATTAGACTCTTCTCCAGGGAGTCCTTCCTTCTCATTAGGTGGCCAAAGTATTTGAGTTTCATCTTCAGGATCTGGCCTTCTAAAGAGCAGTCAGGGTTGATCTCCTTTAGGACTGACCGGTTTGATCGCCTTGCGGTCCAAGAGACTCGCAGGAGTCTCCTCCAGCACCACAATTCAAAGGCATCAATCCTTTGGCGCTCAGCCTTCCTTATGGTCCAGCTTTCACGGCCATACATTGCAACTGGGAAAACCATAGCCTTGACTATACATGCTTTTGTTGGCAGGGTGATGTCTCTGCTTTTTAGTATGCTGTCTAGATTTGCCATAGCTTTCCTCCCCAGGAGCAAGCATCTTTTAATTTCTTGGCTGCAGTCCCCATCTGCGGTGATCTTGGAGCCCAGGAAAATAAAATGTCACTACCTCCATTTCTTCCCCATCTATTTGCCAGGAAGTGAGAGGACTGGATGTTTATGAGATTAAGCATGACAAATTGCAGACAAATAGAAGCAGTTGGATTTGTTTTATGTGCCTTTGAATCCTGACTCTTGTTAAAAGGGAATAGCCTCTATTTTTTATTTCTTGGCAGAGTTGGATGTAACATGCAAGAATAATTGCCTTTTCTCAGGGGGAATCAAAACTACTGAGTTTAATTGAATACGAGATACAAGATACAAGGGACTTTGAGCAAGAATGGCCCCTTCAGTTTGGTGTTTTCAAAACAAAAATGCTTATCCCCGTTCCTTCTTTGTAGCCATTTTGTAATGGTAATGACATGTAGTATAAAAGTGGCCCTGAAAAAAAATCTGGATACCCAAATGATTTCTTGCAGTAAGGGATGGGGGAGGTAAGTTATTCAGTTCATCTTATCCCCCTGTATGGCCTGTTGTTACTTTGTTGATAATTTTTATGAAAATTGCATACCTAATACAGGCTTCCATAGCCAAGGAACATACAAAATGTCAGAAGGATAGGTGCAGGAGCTAGGTGGTATGATGAATGAAAAACACTTCAAGGTTTGTTTTCTGCTCAGTTAGCCCCAAAGTAACAAAAGTGCAATTGGGCAGGAGTAGAAGAGGGAAACAGAGTAGCAGAAGGACTTTAACATCCAACATTTTTCAGGCAAGTACCTAATGCTGTACCTGTTAGGTCCTGCAGACTTCACCAAACCTCTTTAGATGTCCCTGCTGCTGGGACTAAAAACTAGACAACACTAGTGGAAGAGACCTGTGGTATATTACTCCAGCATACCTCCCCCAAAGGAGAACCTAGCAAAATCATTATGGGCACCATCCAATATGCTTGCACATATTCCTCCAAATTCAGAAGATTGTGGACATCAAATGGAAGGCAAGAGGACAACAGAGGCTAGGATTTCCTTGGAACTCCCTAAACACATGAAAACATTAAAATGACCAAGTTGCGCTATCTAAATGTATTTTCCCCTCATGAGAAAGAGGCTGAGGCATCACCAGGATTCTTCAGAGAATAGTGGTGACTTCCTTCTCCTCTCCCCCACAGAACGTGTTCTCCTGCCATCACCTCCAATATGGTCTTCTGTTACAGGAGCACAGCTGGCATGGAAAGAACCATGCCAACTCTGAGGGTGCAATTGACACTCCAGCATATCATATGGAGTAGGATTGTATCCTAACTGATTAGAAGCTAGAGCAGCCAGTCACATAATTGGACCCTACACCCTAACCCCAATCTATACTGGTTTTCAGATGTGGATTCAGTCTACTTCAATGGACCTCCCCCACCACCCACACACACACTTTGATTCCGACATCTCCCAAATCTGATTCAGCCTGATTTGGTTCAGAGTTAGTGTGAATCTGAAGCACATCCCTAGAATCTACCAATTAAACTTCTAATCAGATCAGATGATTTTAAAAAATCCTTCTGAATTCTTTAGTTTTGTATTGCCTTCCAAAACAGTACTAGATTTCTCATGGATGCATATGCACCATTTGTCAACTGCTTTCAAAGGCAGTTGAGAACCTGATATGGTTTTATGTTCATTTATATTAAATTTAAGTCACAATGAAATAAAATGAGATAAAATGTCTATTTACTTCATTTTGAATGTAAAACTATTTCACCATTATTACTAGACAAACAGGGAAGGATCATATGTTCTGACTCTTAATGCTTGCAAGCCTCTGAATGTGGAGGCATGAGTGCATATCATGCCTGGAATGAGATGTAGTGACAGCTCTTCACACCCGGTTCTTTAGTGCCAGGGAGGGGGAGGGAAGGAGACTGGCAGACTGACTGGCATTGGTGCAAGTCTGCCCCTTCTGCCTCTTCCTCTCCCCGTGGCAGGCCCCTTTCCCTCCCCTCAAGGCCAGATTGTGATTGGCGGGAGGGGGGTGGAATGGGAACAACCAGAGTGGTTCTTTCTGTGCCAGCTGTGAGAGGGCAGGACAGCAGGACCTCAGGGCTGGGACTCCAAATAATCCTATGCGTTCCTAAATGAAGTCAGGAGACCATAGGTTTATGCCTTAAATAATTTAATTTCTAGCTCATCTTTCTACCCATGAATTGTGTTCAAGCATCAAGGCAACTAACAATTAACTTTGAATTAGAACAAAATCTTAATTAAAACAAGTTAGCAGATGAATTTTAAAATATCAGTTAGGCCAATGGCCTAACTGAATAAAAACACCTTTACCTTGGCAGCAGCAGGACAGCAAGGAGAGAACCAAACAGACCTACCATGCCAAGGGTTCCAGAATCTGGAAGAAGCCATTGAGACCATCTCTCCCATCCCCACCAAACCCAATGGCCTGGCTCACATATAACCCTGTCTCTGTATGGGTTGAGTATGCTTGTCACTGAATCATGGTTTTTGACTGAATTGTGGGTTATGTGCAAACACTACACTATGGTTTAAGTATGGTTTAACCTTGAACAAAACTGTTGTATGGATTGTGGATTGATATATTTGTAAAAACGCCATAGTTAAACCATAGCACAGAGTTTGCACATAAAGACAACCCATTATTCAATGAAAACTCATACTCGACCTGCACTCTGAGTTATGGTTGTATGAAACCCAGATCAACATGTAAAAGATACTTATAAAGCACCTGTGCACTATAGTGTGTCAATTTATTAATAAAATAAAATTAAGCAGTTTCCAGACCTAATAGAGATAAAGTATTTTGTTAATAACACATTTCCTCATATATATTTGGAGAGTGACAGTCATACCTTTAGGATATGGCTGGAACAAGATGGTTTATACAGCCTCTTTTTCAGTTATGTAAGTGGCACTGGCTTTCCTCAAGTCAAATGCTCACAATTGCATGATTTTTTTTAGTATCAACCCATGTCTTGCCTTATGTAGGGTTTTTACATGAGGAGTTTAATTTGCTGCTTTGTCATTTTTTAAATTTTTATTTGTTTGTTTTTTGTCATGAGAAGCCTCCTATAATTTGTTGGGATATAGTATGTGTGTTTTTAAATTTCTTGATATTTCCTTCTCTTTCTCTCAGTATGTACCGCTGCCACCAGAAATTTAATTCCAGTCTTATTTGTCAAACTGTCCCACAGTATTGTGCCTAAGCTTTAAGGCTCCTCCATTGGAATATGTGGTCCTGAGGATGAGACTTTGGTATTCAAACAGCCTAAAGCCTCAGAATTAACCATAAGCAAAATAAAACTTTATTTGTACAATAAGTGTATTGGTTTCAAAATGTTTAGTCACTTATTTACTTAATGAATAAAACCATGTGTAATAACAACTTCTGAATTGAAGTATCTCACTCTTTCCCCTCACAATTAGTCATCACTCTCAAATCCTCCTCTCACTTCTGAATGATCTTTGTCCAATCTTTATTCTATTTATCTCAGTTCAATCTTTCCCTCCTGCACTCAAGTTTCTTTCAGCTTCTGTCTCTTGCACCCTTATAATTGTTGACAATATTAGGTTTTGACTCTCCCTGGTTGCTAATATATCCTTTAAGTATTTTACTTCCTTCCTTTTGTCCTTACGAATCCTAAATACCTTTCACAGCACTATCTAGGATCCTAAAGAGAAGACTGCCTCTTCAAATTCTGCAGACGGATGACTGATTCCAACCAGCTGTAACTGTTGAAAGACCACAGTTGATTGACTGAAATTATCTGTTTCTCCTTGCACATTTTCAAGCTCCACCCATACACTCTCAGTCACCAACCCATCACCTCACTCATTCATCCCCTCTTTTACCCCTCTTGTCCTTCTGAAACTTACGAACAATTAAAGGAGCACACACACAACTCTTTCAATCTTTACATGTTTTCTGTTTTTGTTGCAGGAGGAAATACGTGTCCTTGGCACAAGTTTTTTTTCCTGGAGTCTATATTTCTCTGCTGTTCTATATGTATTATACTAACCTCATGGTGGCACAATGGAAGAGCTGAAGTATTACAGATTTGAAACTTTTTCAGGAGGCTTATGTTCCACCTTCTTGTGGTTTTAATTTTAATAGTAGACTTTCCGCATTCTAAAATAACCCTCAAAAAAGGCTAGAAAACATGGGAGAAGCCCTGGAGGATGACAACATTGTGAAAAGGCCCTGCAAACTTCTTTGAGTAAGGAATCACAAGGGAACAAGAAATGCCTTATATGAAGAAGCTCTTACACTCCCATGTAAATTATATGGATCTTTGCAATATTTAGCAACAAGCCATTTTTATATTGTAAAATGACATAGAGCTATTAAGCACTAATTTTTTACAATAACATGTAGAGGAAAATCAAAACACCCATCCATCAAGAAACTACAATAGACTTGTGAAGTACATCACAACTTTATGTATTTCAACTTGACCAACTCAAAGTCTCATATATTCCCTTGACCTAGCTTATATTTTTTTTTGTCCCAGGAGGAAGAAAAAGAAAGAGAAGAAAAACTAAGGAAAGGAATCAAAACATCCTATCATTGCAGTGTGACTGATTCACATAGCTTTGCAGGTAATACCACCCTTGCATTAAAATTAATTAAAGCAGTCTGACCAATGAACATCTGGTAAACAGATGTACCTGCATGTAACAGTAGGTGAGTGGTAAGTGAGTTGAAGACTGGATTGTTAATTAGCTTAAGTATTTGGAGGAGCACTGTGAGGATGTAAGAACGTTAGGACAGAATCTTGTGCATATTTAGTTGGAAAGACATCTTATGACTCCCAGTATTTCCTTGTGAACCATGAAATTTGAAATCTAGGCAAGTTTTTCAGTTAAGCAATTTAGGTCATGTGGATTGTTTTTAAAATGTGGCTCAGGTATGTCCATATAAACACATCTGCCTCATTAGAGCTTTAAGTTTGTCTTGATTTCCCAAAAATCATATGTTTGTGCTTCATGCTCACATACTGTAAGTATCAGGATCATATTTTGTTTGCTGTTTTTTTAGGAATGCTGTGGTTGACACAAATGGCTATGCACATATTCAGGATGTCAGATTTTAAAAGGGGAAGACCAGATATTACATGCAGCATGTGTACTTAAGAGGAAATTTATTTATTTATACACCTATTTATAGGCTACCTGTAACTGCTGAGGCCTTCCTGCAAGTATTCACCTGCAAGCATATATATAAAACAGGTAGTTGCTTGCAATAACTGCTTCCTGTTAATGTTTCTGAGTTAGCAGATTAATATATGATAGGAAAGAATGATTCTTGCAAAGTCTTCCCAGGCAACTGCTAGAGATATTGACAGTAGTACCCTTTTACCTATCAGAATATGGCAAAGACTGTACGAGATTTTTCTGATATGCTTTAGGATCTGTTTGGGGCAGGAGGAGCAAGGACAAGTTGAAATGTAAGAGCAGTCTAACAGAATTTTCTGTTTTCTAGTGTTTGTAATGTGATTGCACTGACTATTTTGTATTTTAGGTTTTCCTGTTCCACAAATTAGTGCCCAGGAAGTTTCCAAACCAGATATTCTTCTGGATCCTCAGTCACCAATAATGGAAAAAACTCAGTTGTCGGGACCAGAGACTCCTCAGAAACTGAACTACCCTACAAAAGGCATGGGAGCTAGCCGAGCAGTTAAAAGGAAACTTGATTTCTCCAAGAACTAGAGGCACAAACACATTTCCCTTTTGCTCTTCACTTTGCTACTATGAAGTAGGTACTAGAAACCTGAACCTGCACTCATGAAATAACCTAGATTAAATGCTAGCATTGTTGCCACTTCTTGCTGTTTTAATTATAAGAATGTCTGTTGGGCATTTCCTGTTGGTCATAATTTTTTCTTGATACAGATAGGCACAGAAGTGCTTGCAATGTATAACTGTGAAAGTTGGGCCATAAGGAAGGCTGAGCGCTGAAGAACTGAGGCCTTTGAATTGGTGCTGGAGAAGTGCTGGAGAAGACTCCTGAGAGTCCCTTGGACTGCAAGACAATCAAACCAGTCAGTCCTAGAGGAGATCAACCTTGAACTGCTCTTTAGAAGGCTAGATACTGAAGATGAAACTCAAATACTTTGGCCACCTAATGAGAAGGAAGGACTCACTAGAGAAGAGCCTAATGCTGGGAACAATTGACGGCAAGAGAAGAAGGGGATGGCAGAGAATGAGGTGGCTAGATGGAGTCACTGAAGCAGTCAGCATGAGCTTAAGTGGACTCCGGGGGATGGTCGAGGACAGGAAGGCCTGGAGGAATGTTGTCCATGGGGTCACAAAGGGTTGAACATGACTTGGTAACTAGCAACAGCAACAAAAATCCAGTAATTCCAACAGCGATTCATACAATTGCCATTTTAGAACAAGGTGGCAATGATACTAACATCCCAGCTAAATTGCTCCATGAGCGCAGGTTCAGGTTTTTAAAATGCACAAGGAACAAATGTGTACTTCTTACATTGTGGTGCAGTTTACAGAAAATATTTTTCCTGCTGAATTTCTACTTGTTGTACAACTGGTACAATCTGAAACTGAAACTCTAACCCACCGTCACTAAAAAACATATTTGTGAACCAGCTCTTCTTTCATCCTTCTTACTAGTTGCTCAATTTCATTTATAATCAGACATCAGCTAATGAGAAATAAGATGAATGGCTTATCTACTGCAGCCAATTTTACCCTGACCCTCCCTGAGTGAGTGTGCCACCTATTTAATTATGGTATTCTTTGGGTTTAAATATTTTTATTAATGGGCATATAAATGTTTTAGCAATTATGATTGATTTTGATTGTATTTTAATATGCATCATAATACCTTTCAATGTATTCAACTTTCTTTAAGTCCACTTAATGATGCTTTTAAATATGGTCAGTGCTATATAAATCTATTAAATTTTACCGATAATAATTTTACAAGGCTTGGAATATTGCCCCACCTGATACAAACCTTGCCATTTTTCAGCACCAGGTTAAGATGGGCCCCTTTTGCCAAGGCAAATCTACTTGGTTATTCAGGGACTTGAGGGGATTACCACCCCAGGCATTTTTCTTTCAAAGTTCACTATTCACTGAATGTTTTAGCTGTTCTAAATTGTTTAATTTTCTTTGATAAGATTTTAAGGTGTTTTTACCAAATTTAATTGCCTTGTTTTTATGTACTGTTGTAAACTGGTTGAGTGGTGGCCACCCAGCTTCAGGCACTCTTGGATGAGACTGATTATCTGCATCTATTTTGGTTGGAGATCAGGCCTGATTTTGGCACAGAAATAGCTTTGGTCACCCTGTATGATGACCTATGCTGGGACAGAGACCGTAGGCATAGAACCCTCTTGGTACTCCTGGACCTCTCAGCAGCTTTCAATACCATCAACCATGGTATCCTCCTGGAGTGACTGTCTGAATTGCATTTGAGGGCCATTGCACTGCAGTGGTTCTGTTCCTACTTGGATGGCAAGCGCCAGAAAGTGGTGCTAGGGGGATATTGCTCTGCCCCTTGGGTTCTTCAGATTGGGGTTTCTCAACGGTCTGACTTGTCCCCCATGCTATTTAACATCCACATGAAACCAGAGTGGGGTTACCCAGAGTTTTAGAGTCTGTTGCCATCAGTATGCTGACGATACACAGCTCTATTTCTCCTTTTCATCTTAAGTAGGTTTGGCTATGGATGTGCTAAGCCATTGTTTGGCTGCCACAATAGATGGGATGAGGGCTAACCCACTGAAAGTCAGTGCAGGCAAGACTGGGATGCTGTTTGTGTTGTGTGTACAAACAGGGAAAAGGTGCCAGAACACACGCAACCAGTTTATAGCTTCAGTGGGAATGAGAGTTTAGACAGTGAAGATGAGTTCTAGAAAGTCAGCAAACTATAGTATCAGATCAAGGCCAGGAAATGTTTGAGACCCCGGGAGGGTAACTCCAGGTGGGTGTAGGTGACAGCCAGCCCATCTTCTGGAAATGGGCAGATAACACAGCAGGAAGTGGAGCTGGGAGCCAAGGTTGACAAGAATCCCAATCTGCCAATGGGAGAACAGGGGGAGAATTTGGGATCTGGCCAAGAGTTGAGCAGTCTGTCAGCTACAGAGGACCCTCCCCCTGAGGAAGTGATTCTGGTTGCTAGGAGACAACACAGGTGGGAGATTCAGTTGATGGAACAACTGGAAGCACACTGGCAGGCAAGATATCACAATGGCCCACCTCTGGGTTGGTGAAGGAAAAAGGATTATAAGGGGGCCAGAGGCTGATAGGTGTTAGAAAGGGCTCAACACTTCACTCTGGGTGAACTCAGATGTGCAACAATAGGGATGCATAACAATAAGCCTTGTGAAAAGAAACTCTGGTGCTTAGGAGGAAGACAGTATCTCATGACAGTGGATTGTTCTTCTGATTGGATGGAGGAAATTCAGCCTGTTCTAGATGGGTTTGCACTCCCCTTAAAGAAGCAGGTTTGTAGCTTGGGGGTGCTCTTTGAGCCATCCTTGTCACTTGAGGTGCAGGTGTCTCCCTACTGATTTTCGCCGGTACCAACCTTACTATCTTTTTGGCACCAGGTTAAGACTGTCCTCTACCACAAGACATGTTTTTAGTTTATTGGGGCTTTGCTAGTTGCTAAACCATATCCAAAGATGGATCTTTTTAACTTAATGTTTATATTTTTTTAATTTAATGTTATAATTATTTTTTAACTTTTTGTTGTAAGCCACCCTGAGGCTTCGGCGAATGGGGCGGCGTGAAAATGTTTTAATTAATAAATAAATAAAAATCTTTGGAACTTTTGTGTGCTTTAAATTTGGTTTTACATTTTGCATGGCATTCTTTTTATGATGTTTTATAAAGTGGTGTATTTTAGACTATCTTCTAATGCATTGTTGTAAACTGCCCAGAGAGCTTCAGCTATTGGGTAGTAGAGAAGTTAAATAAAAACTGCCTAGAGAACTTTGGCTATCTAGGATCCACATCCTTCTCCACAGTAGCACCCCAACTGTGGAATGCGCTCCCCAGAGAGGTTTGCCGTTATATTCTTTGTGGCGCCAGGTAAAAACCTTTTTATTTGCCCAACATTTTAATCTGGTTTTATTAATATTAATATCCTCAGGCACATTTTATCTTGTTCTTATAGTCGTTTATTGTTGTATTTCTTGTTTGCTTATGTTGTTAGTTGTCCTGAGACAATTGGATTGTATAGGACGGAATAAAAATATTGTAAATAAATAAGGATGGGGTAAAAATATTGTAAGTAAGTAAATAAATAAACAGTTGCTCATCTCTTGGGTGGGCAGCAGGGTGTTGCTTTCTCCCTAGAACCAGATGTTAATACTGCCATAGCAAAGTACTGACATCAGTAATTGGCCTGTAATAAACCTTTCTTGCCTCTGAAACTTCCTCTTACTGTTCATTGAACAAAAATGACTGGAAGCTCACTCTGGCATTATTTCTTCCCCTCTGCAGGACTGTGCAAGGCTAAAGCACAATAAAACTTAGCTTCCAGGCAGAGGGTTCCTTGTACTCACAATCCAAAGACATAGTATCTCTTTTTGTGCTTAACAGATTTCCCATGGTAAATAAAACTGAAACAGTGAGAAAACAGTGAGGCAGTTACAAACAACTGACAATGCTGTCTATACATGTGTAAAATTCTGTAACTGAGGTAGGGTGATGGATACAATAAATGCCTCATCAGGAAGCTCCTATAGGATGCAGTTGTCTAACATTATAGATGCAGATACAGTAGTTTCAGGGGAAAATAAACCCTTCTATTACAGTATATGTTGTTCAATATTTAAGTAGTTATGTATTCTTTCAGTGCTTCTGCATAAAGGTTTAAGACCAACAGAACAATCTGAAAGTCAGTTTCCGGATGAATCTGGATATCCCCTTGATAAACAATTTATTAGTTATTATATTTATATCCCACCTCTTTTCTTTCCAGCTTACATAGATCTCCTCTTCCCAATCTTATTCTCACAAAAGCAGGTTGCTCACCTGTAACTGATGTTCTTTGAGTGGCCATCTGTGCAGTCATACATATGGGGTGCTGCGCCTGCGCAGTGCCTTTGGCCGGAAGATTGATAGCTAACGGTTTTGGCAGGAAGCTCTGCTCCCCCTCCCCTTTATAGCTTATATAGAGCAGAGGGTCCGCCATTCTGTTCAATCTTTGAAGACTGAACGTTCGCCCTCATACAGAAAAAAGGAGTCCCTACTAAAGATGAGATCGGTACCATGAATGAAAAATGGTAAGGTACTGATGAAATATTTCCACTCACCGACACCGAGCGGGGCTGGCGGGCGGGTTGTGTGACTGCACAGATGGCCACTCAAAGAATATCAGTTACAGGTAAGCAACCTGCTTTTCTTCATCGTGGCCTCTGTGCATCACACATATGGGTAGATTAGCAAGCTTACCCTTATTGGAGGAGGGAAGGTGTCCTTAGCGAAGAATAGACAAGAGTACAGCTCTGCCAAAGGAGCAATCTTGTCTGGCACGAACATCTAGCCGATAATACTTAGCAAATATACATGGAGTAGCCCAAGTGGCAGCTCAGCAGACGTTGTCAATTGGAACTCCAGAAGCAAAGGCAGAAGAAGTAGCAACAGCTCTAGTAGAATGACCCCTTGGAATTGTAGGTAAGTCAATCCTAGCCAACTGATACGATAGAGTAATTGTGTGGACTATCCACTTGGAGAGTCTCTGAGGGGTAACTGGAAGGCCCTGATTTTGCTCAGAGTATTTGACAAAGAGCTTGTTGGAACGTCGAATAGACTCAGTCCTTAATCTGTAGAAGGCCAGGCAGCGCCATACATCAAGTGTGTGTAAGGATCTCTCGAGTGGATTCGTCAGGGACGGAAAGAAGGTGGGTAAGACAATGTCTTGTCCCATGTGAAAGGAGGTGGCCACCTTGGGAAGAAAGGATGGATCCATTCGCAAAACAACTTTCTCCCTGTGGAAATTTAAA